AAGGTCATGTTTTCTAAAATCATGTTTTCTTTAATCATTTTTCTTACTCTTCTCTGATCTTTCTCCACTTTGTCCATATGTTTCCTGAAATGTGATACCCAGAACTGGACACAATACTCCAGTTTATGCCTAATCAGTGTGGAGTAGAGCAGAAGAATTACTTCTCGTGTCTTGTTTACAACTCTCCTGTTAATTCTCCAAAGAACTTGCAACCCCTATAATCCGCAAACTTTATAAGTGCACTCTCCATGCCATTATCTAAATTATTGATGATAACCTTGAACAGAACCTGAAGCATAACTGATCCCTATGGAACCCCACTTGATATGCTCTTCCAGTTTGACTGTGAACCACTGATAACTACTCTCTGGGAATCGTTTTCCAATCAGTTATGCACCCACCTTATAGTAGCTCTGCCTAGGTTGTATTTCCCTAGTTTATTTATGAGAAGGTCACGTGAGACAGTATCAAAAGTCTTACTAAAGCCAAGATATACCACACCTATCCCTACACCCATCCACAAGGCTTGTTTCCCTCTCAAAGAAAGCTTTTAGAAAGCTATGATTTGACATGATTTGTTCTTGACAAATCCATGCTGACTGTTACTTATCACCTTGTCTTCTAGGTGTTTGCAGATTGATTGCTTAATTTTTGCTCCATTATCTTTCTGAATTCTGAAGTTAAACTGCAATTTCCCGGATTGTGCTGATTTCCCTTTTTATAAATTGGCACTATATTTGCCCTTTCCCAGCCCTCTGGAATCTCTCCCATCTTCCATGACTTTTCAAAGATAATCACTAATGGCTCAGATATCTCCTCAGTCAGCTCCTTGAGTATTCTAGGATGCATTTCATCAGGCCCTGGTGACTTGAAGACATCTAATGTGTCTATGTAATTTTTAACTTGTTCTTTCCCTATTTTAGCCTCTGATCCTACTTAATTTTCACTGGCATTAACTATGTTAGATGTCCAATCACAACTAACCTTTTTGATGAAAACTGAAACAAAAAAGTCATTTAGTACTTCTACCATTTCCACATTTTGTTATTGTCTCCCCCCCCCCCCCGCCAATTGAGTAATGGAACTACTCTATCATTGTTCTTCCTCTTGCTTCTAATGTATTTGTAGAATGTTTTCCTGTTACCCTTAATGTCTCTAGCTAGTAATTTCATTGTGTGCCTTGTCCTTTCTAATTCTGTCCCTACATACTTGTGTTATTTGTTTATATTGAGTTTCAGATCATTGAAGATCTCCTGGTTATACCCGGGTCATAGGTGCCGACTCCGTGGGTGGTCCGGGGTGGAGCACCTAGGAAAAAATTGGTGGGTGCTCTGCACCCACCGGCAGCTCCTCTCACCCCCTCCTCGCCCGAGCTCACATCTGCCTCCTCCCTTGAGTGTGCCGCAGCTCACTTCTCCCCCTAGCTCCCAGCGCTTGCTGCCGCGAAACAGCTGTTTCATGGTGGCAAGTGCTGGGAGGGAGGGGGAAGGAGAGGGAACGCGGTGCACTTGGGGAAGAGGTGGGGCCCGGGTGGGAATTTGGGGAAGGAATCCAATAGGGGCAGGGAGGGGATGGAGTTGGGGCAGGGACTTTGGGGAAGGGGTTGGAATGGGGGTGAGGCAGGGGTGGGAGGGCGCGGGGCTGGAGTGGAGTCGGGGTGGGGCCAGGGTGGGGGGGTTGAGCACCCACTGGTGCTCGGAAAAGTTGGCACCTATGATCCGGGTGGTCTCTTGCCATATTTCCTATCTTTCCTACGCAGTGGGAGAGTTTGCTCTTGTACTTTTAATAATGTCTCTTTGAAAAACTGCCAACTCTCTTAAACTATTTTTCCCCTTAGCCTTGCTTCCCATGGGATCTTACCTACCAGATCCCTGAGTTTGCTGAAGTCTGCATTCTTGAAATCCATTATATTTTATTGTTGCTGCTTTTCCTCCTACAATTCCTTAGAATCATGAACTCTATCATTTCATGATCACTTTCACCTAAGCTGCCTTCTACTATCAAATTCTCAACCAGTTCCTCCCTGTTTGTCAAAATCAAATCTAGAACAGCCTCTCCTGTAGTAGCTTTCTCCAACTTCTGAAATAAAAAAAAATGTCTCCAATACATTCCAAGAACTTATTGGATAATCTGTGCCATCATTTATTATTTTCCCAACTGATGTCTGGGAAGTTGAAGTTCCCCATCACCATCAAGTCTTACGCTTTGAATGATTTTGTTAGTTGTTTAAAAAAAACACTAAGTAGTAGTTCTCACTGAGCAGTATTCAGTCTCAAAGCCCCTGAGCATCTGCTCCTTTACTCTCAAGAGCCCAGGATAGAAAATATGCAAAATGCAGATAAAGAATGGACATGTTTGAGGAGGCAGGAAACTTAATATGGAACTTGACTAAATGGTCCCCTCTTATTCATGATACAAGGAAACAATCACTTACTGGACACACAGCAGCAATTACATTCGGGACCCTTTGAGTTCTCCCATCATGGGAGAATGATAAACAGCAGGTATTAACATTAAAGGCTCAGTTAACTGGCATCCAAGAGTCTTAAGAGTGGCTGAAGAGTTTGCTGGACTATTAATGTTGTTTTTTCCATAGGTCTTAGCACACTGCAGAAGTTCTAGTATACTAGAAGAAAACTGATGTTGTGCCGGTACTTAAAAAGGGTAAACAGGATGACCAGATATAGGCCTGTCATTGATCTAACATTTATCCCAGGCAAGATAATAGAGCAGCTGATAAAGAAGTATAATATAATTAATGCAAATCATCATGGATTTATGGAAAATAGTTTGGCAGGATCTAACTTGATATTTCTTTTGATGAGATTACAAGTTTGGATGATAAAGATAACAGTATTGATAATAGTGATGATTTCTGTAAGGTATTTGACTTGTAACCGCACAACACTTTGTTTAAACCAGACGGATACACAATTAAATGGATTCCAAACTGGCTAACTGATATGTCTCAAAATGTAATTGTGAGCCAAGATTAATCATCGAGTGGGTATGTTTCTAGTGGCATCCCACAGAGATCAGTTCTTATCCCTACTTTATTTAACATTTTTATCAATTACCTGGAAGAAAACATACAATTAAACACTGATAAATTTTGCAGATAACCCCAAATATTGGTGGAGCAATAAATAATGAAGAGGACAGGTCACTCATACAGAGCAAGCTGGATCACTTGGTAAGCTTGGTGCAAGCTAAAAATATGAATTTTAATATAGCTAAATGTAAATTATACATCGAAGAACAAAAAATGTGGGTCTTATATACAGGGATGGGAGACTCTATCATGGGAAGCAATGACTTTGAAAAACATATGGGGGTCATGGTGGATAATCAGCTGAACATAAGCTCCTGGTGCAATGCTGTTTCCAAAAGGGCTAATGCAATCCTTGGACGCATAAACTGGGAAATCTTGAGTAGAAGTGGAGGGTTTATTTTGCCTCTGTATTTGTCACTTGTGTGACTGCTGCTGGAATACTGTGTCCAGTTCTGGCATCTGCAATTCAAGAAGGATGTTGACAAATTGGAAAGAATTAAAAGAAGAGCCGTGAGAATGATTAAAGGATTTGAAAACATGCATTATAGTGATTAGTGTCGAATAGCTCAATCTTTTTATTTTTAAAAAGAGAAGGTTAAGGAATGGCTTAACCACAGTTTATACCTACATGGGGAACAAATACTTGATAAGAATCTTCAATCTAGGAGATAAAGTTTACAACATAATCCAATGTCTAGAAGTTGAAGCTAGACAAATCAGTCTGGAAATAAGGCATACTTTTTTAATAGTGAGGTTAATTATCATTGGAACAATTTACTTAGGGTTGTGGTGGAAACCAATATTAGATTTTTCCTAAAAGATATGCTCTAGCTAATATTTGGAGACAGTTCTATTGCCTGTGTTTTCCAGGAGGTCAGACTGGATGATCAAGGTGGTCCCTTCTTGGTATGTATTAAGTCAATGAGAGTTGTTCCATTGACTTCATTGGGCTTTGGATCAGGCCCTGATTTAAAAACAAGTTCCTCTATGCTCCCTGTCCTGCTCATTGCATTTTATGTTGTGCTAAAGTGCACAAAACTCTACAGCTGAGTTGTGCAAGATCATGCCTCATATGTAAATTCTGTAATAGTGAAAAACACCTTTTTATGTTTCCCAAACTTTTGGACAATGGTCCAGAGCCACACTCAGAATTAATGGCTGAAATGCCTCCCAACATACTCAGAGCAAAATGCACCTCAAGTGCTGTACAAGATGCATCACCTAGAAAGACTTATGTTCCAATGGAAAAGAAACACTTCAGAAGATAATTTAGTAGCTACTGTGGAAAGTGACAGAGATAAATAGAGCTGGTGTTGCCATGTGAAACATTAATGTATGGCATTTCACAGCACTTAATATATCCAGATGCCCCTGCTGCCCAACCCGCTCCTCCTCCATATCTCCACTGCCTTTGAACAGAGAGACAACCCTAACAGGGAGCTAACCCACATGCTTTTGAGCAACTTTACAATAAAGAAAGTAACCTCTGAGCTGGACCTTTGTCAAATCCTTTCTGGATATCTGAGGATGTGATGCCCACTGCATCCCACTTTTGTCTCCCATGGTAGGCTTATCCTCAAAGAAATACAACTAGATGGTGAGGCATGACTTTCCTTTCTTAGAGGTCATCAGTCTTTGCTCACACTGTGTATTTCTAAGTACTTTTCCTGTTTTGATCTCTTAAAAGACTTTGTAAGACTTTTCCCACAAGTGAAATTTAAAATGATTGCTCTGTGATTCTCAGATGTGCCTTGAGTCCTTTGTTAATCAATGGCTCCATGATAACCAGTGGTACCTACTGAACTTCAACTAAGTCATCTTGAAAAAGTAAAATTTGTAGGAGTCTCTCTACAATTTTGATGATACTTCTCAAAGGGCCATGAGAAAAATAATAATGAATTACATTTATAATATCACACTTTGTCTCAGAAAGATCCTAAAGTGTTTTACAAACTGTACTCCTGGTCCTGAACTCATTGAATTCTGGAGGTGCAGGATCAAGCCCTACTTACGTACATGAATCACCTCATGCCTCATTGAAATGATGACCTCCTGTATGGTAAACCACAGCAGGTATTTAACAGTACAAAGAAGCATGACACAGCAGTTCAGAAAAGAATAGTGTCACATCCATTAGAAACCACAGGGACTGTTTGTAGGTAGGCAAGATGTCATTACCCAAGTTACATTTGGCTAGGATTTGGCAAGGTTAAAACTCTGAAGCTTAGAAAAAATTCCATGAGATATTAAATGAGCACATATGGTAAAAACTTTGGTTTTAGGTCCCATTTTTCAATGTATCCCCTATCGCCAGCATTGTTTCAATACTGAGTGGGAAGAATGCGGCCCACTGAGCTGTCATTGCTGCTTCCCAAAGCAAGCAGATGTTCTGGGGGGTCTCCCATCCAGAGGCCATCAAGGCCCAACCCTGTTTAGCTTGTAAAATCTGACAATATTAAAGCTGGAAGTTGTATAGTTTAAATGATGAAACAAGGAACAATATTAGTGCTGGAAATTTAAAATGATGTCTTTAGCATCACTAACCTTTTGGTAGCCTCAGTTTCATTGTTAACACTTGTCTCATACAAGTGAGTACAGCAAATATCCATGTGGACTGCAGGGAAATTTGGGATAGTTGAAGGGTATGAATCCTAGTCCTTCATATAATATAATCTATGACATACTGTATGTATAGGTTTTATAGTATGCCATTCAAGTATAACCTCTTATGGATATACCAGAGAGAAGTCAAGCTTCATTATGTGTTTCTGAAACTTACACTGCAACTGAAATAACATGTTTTGAGAGAGCAAGCACCCAGCACAGATGGCAGTTACTGATACTGCTAGGTGAACTGTTTGCAATGAACAATTTATCTGACAAATTTAGTTCTGTACTATCTTTAGAATCAATCAGCAAACTGATCTCGGTAGCCCCAGATTTATTCACTAGTTATAATTGTACATTAAAATCTCAGCCTGCACATTATCCTTGAATTGGGCACTATGAATATTCATTTTGTTATTTTTAAGTGTGACTGGTCACCTAAATTAAATGATATTTCTATACTTTGTGAAATGACTGCTACCTAGCGCATGTCAATGCAATCCTGTTTGAAAAAGGACTAAATCAACTAGGTCTTTTTTAGTTCACACCAACAGGGTCTACACAGGGCAGTTAGAGTGCTCCATGTTAGAGCACTCTGTAATTGGCACCATCATAGACTGATCTGTGGTGCAGTGTAGACAAACCCTAAGAAAAATGCTAAGGAACAATAGAGTAGTTTGAGGTTATTTCAGACTTTGAAAGTAATTATTATGTGAAGATTGGGAATACACTACATTAAAATACATGTAGCATTTACTATAGTAAAAAATAGCCCATTCTATTACTTTGTTTCCATTTCTCTTTATTCTTCCAACGTTCATTGTCTTTAAAGGAACTAACAAGAGAGAGGGGAGAATCTGAACCAAGCCATGTGTATAATGCAGAGTAGCTTTTGTGCATTTACTTCGTGAAAATTTGAGTCTTTCAATATTGTTTGTATATCCAGTTATAATAGGGTTTGGGTGTACAAAAGAAGATTACACAGTCTAAACAGTTCAGACCTAAATTAGCTGTGTATTTTGAGCTGTCTTATTGAAACTATGTCACTGAATAGGTTGCTTTGTATTTCTGGAGAATTATATATAATGATCTTTCTCTTCCTTCTTCAGCTCAGCATGTCTACGGAAGTTAAATGACTGATAAAGTACCATCTAGAGGAAAAGAAGTAAAAACAGAGCTCTTGGTTATTTGACATAGGAACATAAAAGATATTTTTTTTGTACTGGATCAGTTTTAGAAAGTTGGTCAAGTACAATGTCTTACCTCCATTATTGCTTATCTCTGATGCTTATGAGGATGGCAGAAATCTTCATAGTCAATTTTGCAGTACTGCCCATAGATAAAAGTTCAGTGATCTTTTTATGCCTTGAAGCAAGAAACATTTTTGCCCTTAGCATAGCATTCATAACTACAAGTTTCTACGGATATTATTCTGAAAATTGTTACAATATTGTAGAGAGTGGTCTTCATTATAAAAAAATATAGTATCAGGAATACAATTCATTGTTAAATTCTATAGGGTGGTTCAACGATGATATAGAAAGTTCATCATTTTCTATTAAATTCTGTAAGACTTTTCTATAAAAGCATTTAGCACTTTTAGTCTCCAATGGAATCAAGATGTACATACATGCATGAAAATGAAAAATAATAATCCAAAATATAGAAAATTTGTATTTATTATAAGGAAAGGATTGGACCAAGATTCAGATTAAGTTGTGGTCAATAATGTTAGTTCTTTCCAGAACAGTTGATAAAGCCTTAATATGTACCACCTATTACAGTGATACTCAATTAGATCTGCCCATGGGCCAATTTGAGAACTTTATGACAAGAGAGACTATTTGCACAGAAAGCTGACAAAATAAAGAAACAAAACCTTCATCTGACAATAAATAAAGACCTTGATCACAACATAAGTATTAGTGTTTCTATCTTTTAACAATGTTTATAAATCAACATTATTACCTGTCTTTGTGGCAATCTCTAATGGGAGAGGTGACCAATGATGTCTGGCAAGCTTTGTGAAGAGTGGTTTGTAGGAAGTCAAGACAAGGTGCATGCATTGGTGGAGATACTCATCTATCAGATGATTGCAGTGTTGGGTTTTTTAATGTTCATGGTAGAAAACCCAGATTCGCTGAGGTACATTGATCTGAATATCATTAAAAGATAGATGGCTAGATTCTGGGTATTCTGAAGTTGGTCAGGATAATGAGTCCAGAAATCACAGTCTCACTTCTCTGAATTCTGTCTTCAAGACCGCTCAGCTCTGGAGCCTTACAGCGTCTAATTGAAAGGCACCTTCATCAATTGAGTCAAGAATGTTCTTTGCTTCAGAAGGGCAAGGTCCACTGGCAGAGACAACAAATAGATCATGAACAAATAAAAGCAAATCCTTTGGAATTTGAAAATTCTTAATTCACATTTTAAAAATTTCAGTCAGCTTGTTTAGAAATTCTTACCTCATTTTCATCTAAATTTCATCATAGCAACAACACACCATGTGGGAAAGTGCAACAACTTTCCTGTTAAGTCTGTGTGAAAGATTTCAAGATTCCTCAAAGGCACAAACTTTTTTGAACAGACCCAACACTGCTTGCTCGGCCTTGGAGCTACAAGTTGAGGGAATTCAAGTGATCAGGAATATCATACAGAGAAGCTACCAGTGACGTAAAGGGGACATCCATTCATAAATTCCAGGAACTCACAAGCTTGTTGGGCTTGTGGTTTGAAAGAAATGTTGTTTCTTTTTGAGCCTCACAAAACCTCTCTAACACACATCCCCTACTTAACCAGTGAATATCATTGGGCTGCAACAGATCACTGTATTCGGCTGAAATGTCTTGTAAAAGAGTTTTTAAAAGACGATGATCGTTATGTAGTTCACTAATCTCATCACAATATTATTTGTTTTTTTTCAAGCCCCCAGACTACTTACCGCACAGGACAGTCCACTGCATCATTCACTAAAGTGTATTTAATGAAGGGTAAGTCCCTGCCAAACATGAAGCAAAGCCTTCTCATTCCCTGTCATGGAGGGGCCTCTGTCTGTAACAAGTAAGGTTACTTTCTGCAGATCTAAACCATTTTTTTTTTCAAAAAAAGCCTTTTACCCTTTCCAAAATGATCTCTCTTGTAGTGTAGGTTTCTAATTGTACTAAGCATAAAAATTCTTCCTTGAAAATTTTACCATCATAAAAATTTTACAAACAGCGATAACTGGGCAGTGTCACTTTAATTGCTTGATTTGCCCATAGAAAGAGACATGTATTTGGTGTGGTTTTTTAATTGGAAAGCAGTGCTGACAAACAATCCGCGTAAATTACCTCCAATCTTCATACTGCCATGGAATCAGACAGGGGAACTTGCTGCACGCAGTTCACAATGTAATCTTTATTATCTCCAGCAAAAACTCCTCCAGCTTTTCCAACATGCACTCCTTCACAAGCTCGGCATTCAGGAAAGGCTTTTTCTTCTTAGCTGGTACCAACATCATCTGAAGAGAAGCAACTGTTGCTTTTTCCTGTACAGTTGCTGATGTTATGACAATGAAATTTGAAGTGTGATACGAAGACTTAAGATTTTCAATTTTGTCACATCTTGCAACACTGCCAGCAGGATAGGCCACACTGAAGTTACTGTGCTTTGATTCAAAGTGGTTCCTCACATCGATGACCTTACAGATGGATACAGTGGTTTGGCATGTGAAACACAAAGGCTTTGTGTTTAAAAGAGGTAGCATGATAAAAAGAGAATCCACTGTTCAGTTTGGGTTAAATACTCTGTTTTTCTGTTGACTTTGCAATGTTTACTCCCACTCTCATTCATTTTTGTCTCCATTTCCAACACTAATGAAAAAATGGGCAGTGTCCTAGCTCAGTCATAGCCGATGCTATCGCAAGAACTTAAGATCCAGTAAGCAGTGCTTAATTTGTGCCTGGGTTTGGTGGGGCTGAGCCCCCACATCCCTAACCTTGGCAGTTCATAACCCCCAGCATCTCTGGGCTCCCAGCCAGCAGCCTCCACTCTCTGGCCGCCCAGCTCTGAAGGCAGTGCCGACACCAGCAGTAGTGCAGAAGTAAGGGTATCAATACATCATACAATGCAACCCTTACCTCTACGCAGCTGCCGCTGGCAACACTACCTTCAGAGCAGGGTCCCTGGACAGCAGCCTCTGCTCTCTGGCTACTCAGCAGTGCTTAATTTGTGCCAGGGATTGCCAGGGTTGAGCCCCGGCACCTTTCATTACAAATTAAGCAGTGCCAGTAAGTTAGAATCATAGAATCATAGAATATCAGAGTTGGAAGGGACCTCAAGAGGTCATCTAGTCCAACCCCCTGCTCAAAGCAGGACCAATTCCCAGCTAAATCATCCCAGCCAGGGCTTTGTCAAGCCGGGCCTTAAAA